TCCTTTTTTTTTCTTCTCATCTCTGACTCCTTTCCCCCACCTCCCAGCCCTCTCTCTTACTTCATTTCCTCCCTCAAGCTAGTCTCATCAAAGGACACTGACACCACACCAAGGCACTAGATTTTACCACTTAATAAAAAGGAAAGGTCAAAGGTGCGTCATGCGTAAAGTTTTGTGGTTTTATAACCACTTTAGAACACGTTTTGGCCTATTTGTTTGATTTATGCCACATTTTTTGATGATCTTTATCTTAGTCTTAGGATTATCTTTTATGAATTAATTCCTCTAGCTGAATTGGATTTTGAAAAGTTGTTTTCTCTGGTACACTTAGATGCTCTTTTCTGTTTAACTACTCTGCCACTAATAACTGTGGCTTTTTGAATTCAGATTTAGGCTACCTAACAAAACAATTTAAAGCTTAGTCTCCCATCACGGTAGCTGTCCTTAAGTGGCCATGGGCAGTATTTGAGAAGATGTAATTCAAGCTTTTGAGTTTCTCAGAAAAGAACAGCTCTGTTGTCTTGATGTCCACAGAAGATGGGTCCATCCCAAATCATGGCCATGCTCACATTTAACCCGTGATGCTTAGCTTTGACTTGCTCACCACAGTAGCTGTAGGTCCCAACATCTAATCCACGACATGAGCACACTTTAAATCTGACGTATGTGGTGAGATTTTGCTAGTGGCCTGGGACTGACGTTTTTAAGAAGACAAACTGTAAATGTTCGGGGCTGAGCAGACTGCTCACTCACTCTGAATTTCCTTTTCTGTTGTGATGCTGTCTTGTTCAGGTTGACCTCAAACAGTCCTCCTGCCTTCTCCTCTTTAGTGCTTTGATAACAAAAATACCACCATTCGCAGCCTCAACCATAGAGATGTTTTTTTAAAACTTTACTATCATCTCAAATTAAATTGCCAGAAAATGACATTTCCTGATGATAAATTTGCCTCTTTGTAGAAATATCGTTTTCAAACTTCATTTTCCATTAACTTCATTTATCCAGTGAATATTTATGAAACTGCTGCTGTGCCCGGCCCTGGTCTAAGCATAAGAGATCTTTCTTCTCCAGCGCGTGCTAAGCCGCTGTGCGCTTTATTGAAGACTGCTTTATTAAAGTGTCAGTAGCAGAAGTGGCCACATGCACAATGTCTGGCTTTTGAGTTTTATGTTTAATAAAGATCCACTTAATAAATTCCAGCAAGAAATTAAACGCTAGGAACAATTCCTAGCATGATTTATTATGATTCCTTCTGTGAACGAATATTGCCTTGCTACAGAGGAACAGTTAAACCTCCAGCCATGGCTTGAATTATCACCCTGCCAATATCACGGCCTGCTCCTTCCCTCTCCTCCTCAGCCTCACACTTCCTCCAGGTGCCCTCTCCTCCCCTTCTCTCTACCTGTGTGTTTCTCTCTGTGTCTCTGTTTCTCTGTGTCTGTGTTGTTTCTCTCGACGTCTCTCTCTGTCCCTGCCTCTCCATCTCACTCTCCTTTCCTTTCCCACCCCACCCTCCCCCATGCAACCAGAATCCTTTTTAGAGGCATAGCTCATGCTTAACAGTGTGCTCGCTTTACAGTTTATACAAATGCACAAATGCATAAGACCCAAAGGAAGAGGTCGAAGAGGTGGGCCTTCCCGACCCTGACCCATGAGGGTGGAGGAAAGCTGCAATTCTGTCCCGAGAGATGTTGATCCTGCCCCTTGGCAAAGGCAGATTTGTATACTTACGCTAATGTGAACACGAAAAGCCTTTGAAGATTCAAGTTTTAGCACCAACCATACACTGTTGATTCAGAATCTGATGGAAATTCTGTCTACTCTAGCTCTCCAGTATTTCTGGAAATTAAGTTTGGATTTTCATGAATTTATTCAGACATTCAGGTGAGACATGGCACAGGCAGGCTAGAAGAGAGGTTCCCATATTTTCAGTCCAACCATCTTTCTACCAAATTTTAAGTTAAAAAATATTAAGAGAGGCTTATAAAATATCAATTTCTAAAATACCAAATTAACAGATATTTTTGGTTAGTTAGTAGTTAGCTGGTTTGTTGGTTGGTACGGAGACAGAGTCTCACTTAGCCTAGGTTGACCTTGAGCTTCCGGTCCTCCTACCTCTTTCTCCTTAGAGCTGGCAATATAGGGACACACCGCCAGTGTGGATTCAGTCATACAGACACACTTATTCAGTCGCCACCATGTGCCCGGCGCTGGTCTGGGTGTTAGATAAACTGGCTAATGACCACATGCACCTGAGGGCACCGGCACTGCCAGCAGGTTGTTGTAAACACTCAGCCAGTTTCTGACAAGTGAAGGAAGACCTGCCTCTTCCTCTCAAGTTTGCAACATCGAGAGCACTCGTGTGTCTTCTGCAAATCAAAATGAGAATTTCTGCTCCAGACCCACGTAATGTTGACTACTGTGTAGAGAGTTCAGGAGAAAGAGGCCCAAAGCTAGAACTGCAGCATAGTCATGTGAAAATCACAATGCCGAGATCCATTCTGCAGATCCACACATTCAATAACTGCGAATGCTTAGTCTGTGCCAAGTTCTCGGGGCCACATCGAGGATGCATCTTCGCGCAGATGCAGCTACGGCCCGCTGACTGTTCTCCCTGGGCAAGGCTCGCATATAAAGGCAAACACACGGTGTCTTAAGATGTGCATCCTCTCCTACCTGGCTGAGCTGTTCCTGAACCGTCCTCCACTGTCTTTGCATCTGGGGATGGGTGGATCTGTCATTCTTTAAGGTGGTTCTTAAACCGGTCCACACAGTTTAGCCCCTAGAACACTAGATTCTAGGGCTATAGGTGAGTCCTGCTATTTCTTTCTGAAATAATAAAATTACAGGCATAACAGTCATTCTTATCATACCTAGTTATTACTTACAAATTGTGCCTTTTAGGAGAAATCTAAACTTTGGAATCCGGTGCCCTAATTAATATCAGCTGCCTTCCCCAGAGAAGGAAATCCTCTGAATAAACAGCAAAGGTTAAGAGAAGGGACATTACGCTCTGGGACAAGGATCTGGGTCCCAAAAGTCTTGACTTTACCCCTAAAATTAAGGACACATCTCTAAGCAGGTCACCTGCTTTCTCAGGCCCCAGTCTTCTTGGTGCATGGAGGGAGAATCTCACACCTTCACGGCCCTCTGAGGAGGGCTGGGATTGTGTTTATCAGGTGAAGTAAGGCAGTAGGGCAAACATTAGGAGAGTGAATTGTGTACCAGGGCAGAATTCTAAACCCTGTAAATGTGCGGCTTGCTTTCATTATTTCTCACAGAATACAAACAAGATGCCTCAACTCTCCTGAAGGCTAGGACTACCAGACGGAGCTCTGAGCTCCAGCCATGAGCTGTGTCCCCGCCTCTCCACTCTTTCCCTGCACGCCAGCTCTAGTCTGTGCTGCATGTGTTTTCTCCTCAGCGTTCCCCTAGACAGCAGTGTCTCCATGTGCTGTTTTCATCTGCCTGTTTCTAGTGACTGGCACAGTGGTCTGCACTTGAAGACTGAGGCAGGAGCATCATCAGTTCTGGGCCAGCCTGGGCTACATCATTAAAAAACAGGGCGGCAAAGTTATTCCAGCCCTTGGAGCCCTTAAAGTTAAGTAAATAAATGTGTTTTTGATGTAGGTGGGTCTTCTTCTATGTGTTACTTTCATTGGTTAATTAATAAAGAAAACTGCTTGGCCTGATAGGTCAGAACATAGGTAGGCAGGGAAGACAGAACAGAATGCTGGGAGAAAGAAAGCAGAGTCAGGCAGGCATCATGCTTCTCCTTCCCAAGACAGATGGTGGTTAGAATCTTCCCGGTAAGCCACCACTTTGTGGTGCTACACAGATTATTAAAAATGGGTTAATTAAGATTTGAGAGTTAGCCAAGAAAAGGATAGATATAATGGGCCAGGCAGTGTTTAAATGAATACAATTTGTGTGTTGTTATTTCTGGTGTAAAGCTAGCCATGCGGGAGCCGGGCAGGACAAAAAGCAGGCCTGCTCGCCTCCTCACTACATTTTTTTTCTCATATAGATGAGTTCATTTTATTTTATCTTGTCATTTTACAAAATAATACCATAATCCCAAAATGCTTCACCTAGCTCACCAATGTTTTTAATCAGCGTTCCTGATGCAGAGGTCACCAGGTGTCTGTTATGAGTAAGATAGCAGAAACAGAAGTGTTTGTGGAGCCCATGGCACAGTGACTGACACAGAGGAACGGGCTGTTAATTGTAGGTGTTGTGTCGGGGTTCCTAGAAATAAACCCAAACTCAGGCAGACACTGGAAGCGTAGCTACGTCAAATTCGTACTTTGATTGTATTTCCAATTATGATAAATACTTTTCTTGATGGATGTGATTTCTCTCCTGAATCTGGCCCCTTTGGTAATCCATCTCTTTACCACTGATGTCTTGGCGTTAGTTCCTCACAGCAGGGCTGGTTCTCTGAGACCTGAAGAAGATTGGTGGCTTGAACACAAATTGTCCCCAAAGGCTCGTATATTTGGATGCTTAGTCTCCAGAGAGAACTGTTTGAAAGAAGGAGAAGGATTAGGAGGTGTGGCCTTGTTGGAAGAAGTGGGTCACTGGGGGAGGGCTTTGAGGTTTCAAATGTCCTCACTAAGCTCAGGCACAGTCTCCTTGACTCCCCTCCCCCATCTCCCAACTTGAGGACCAGCATGTAGCTCTCAGCTGCTTCTCCAGCACTATGTCTGTTCCCCTGGCACCATGCTCCCTGCCGTGATGATCATGGACTAACCCTCTGAAACTGGAAGTGCGCCCCCAGTTAAGTGCTTTCTTTTGTAAACATTGTCATGGTTGTAGTGTCTCTTCAGCCACAGAGCAGTGGCTAAGACGGAAACTGACATTCTCTTTAGGAGTGTATTTCCTTCCCATCTCCAGATGTCTTTAAAATGTTTGTGAAAGGTTGGGACTGGCTTTATTCAGAGGTACCATGTGACCTGTGTTCCTCTTTTTCTGATAAGCATGTGCATTGTTTCCTTTAGGGGGATTTTCCATGGGAGGCTGCATGGCGATGCATTTAGCATACAGAAATCACCGGGATGTGGCAGGAGTTTTCGCTCTTTCTAGTTTCCTGAATAAAGACTCTGCTATTTACAAGGTAAGTTCCAGATTTAAAAAACAAATACAGCGTGAAGCATAGACACATTGAATCCAAAATAAAGTTGATAGTTAAGCAATAAAATGTGGTACCTGGTCTATGTAGATTAACTGTCTCTGGAATCCATGAGCAGTTTTGTCATGGTGACTCTAGGAGGCCTCTATGTTCAGCAGTGCCACCTTGGAAAGGACAGTTTTAGGGAAGGGCATGCTTAGTGTTGCGTGACTCCTTTATGCAGAACTAGAATGTAGGAGACTGTAGTCAGACTTGCGTATATTGTGCCTGCTCAAAGGTCAATTCTAAAGCTAATGCTTTGCAGCGGTTTTCAAGCTTATGGCTGTTTGTTACAGCTCCATCACCAAAAGTCCAACAGAGCATTTGAATTGACTTTTCCCTTCAGTTGGGTCTCAGCTCTGTACTCCTCCCTCTCTCTCCCCGGGAAGAAGTCCGGCTATGCATTTCACTCCTTTGCTGAGGAAATGCCTTGTTGGCCTTTGAAGAGTCCTCAGTGGTGCAAACATAGGGCACAGACCCACACCGCCCTCCTGGAGCCCCCTCCCCCCCACCCGCTTCCACTGCACACCTGACCCCGCTCCTCCTCTGGAGGCTCCCTCTTCTTCTCTTAGAGCAGCTGACATTAACTAGGAGTGGTCTCTGTCTCCCACCCCCGGGATTTCCTGTCTAAGAGGACTGTCTCCCATCCCCTGGGATCTCCTGTCTCAGTGGACTGTCTCCCATCCCCTGGGATCTCCTGTCTCAGTGGACTGTCTCCCACCCCCTAGGATCTCCTGCAGGCTGATGGTGTGTTCCCGGAGCTGTTTCAGTGCCATGGCACGGCAGATGAGCTGGTTCTCCATTCTTGGGGCGAGGAGACAAACTCAAAGCTGAAATCTCTGGGAGTGAGCGCCGTCTTCCACAGTCTTCCAAATCTTTACCATGACCTGAACAGAACTGAGCTGGAGAGGCTAAAGTCATGGATTCTTACAAAGCTGCCAGGAGAGACTGATGGGCAGAACAAATGAATCCTCACCACCATATTGTTATTTCGGGGCATAAGCTAGCCAGGCGGCCGGGGTGCTGGGGACGCAGCCCCACCGCTCGTATTACAACAATATTGATTATTTTCTTACACCTGAAATTTCCTTATTTGATCCTCACAAAAATTAAGGTTTGTGAAACATCCAGCACTCTCATATTATGTGAATGGAATTTATGATATCTGTCTGTTTTCTTTCAACAAAATTGCCTCGAGAATCACTCCGTTGTAAATGTCAGCTGTATTTTGTAGCTGCAAAGATGTCTTTTTATGGACGTACTGCAGTTTGCTTGTCCGTTGGCCGCAGATTTGGGTCTCTTCCTGTGTGGGGTTGTCACAGGTAGGACTGTCGTGAGCATCCGTCCTCACAGTGGCGAGGCTGGGCAGTGTGTTGTAGCGTGACCTGAACCTGTCTGGCTGTTTCTCTGTGTAGTTTTACCATTTTCCGTTCCAGCCAGTAGAGTGGCCTCTGATGCGCACTTCTTCACCATAATTCCAATTTGGCCATTCTAGTGGCTGTGTAGTATTTGGTTTCTGCAGTGTTTGATCTGTCAGGCAGGGTGGATTTCCATTTTCTTGGTGCCAGCAATGTGATACAGAGTCCTCCACTGGAGGATTTTCCCACATTTGTGAAGAATCAGTTTGTCCTCCCCAGTTTGTTTCTAGATTCTTTATGAAAAGTGATTTACTGTTAAATTATAAGAATAAAATATGAATAAATTTACCTTTTAAAATGTCAAGTTCCGTAAAGGGTAATATGATCATATTAAAGGTAGAATTAATTGAGATCAATATCTGGCACTGTTTTTTAGATGAGTTATTATATACACTTAAGGATCTTTAAGTACTTTAAAACAAACATATAAAATAATAACTCTTTTCATGGTTTTCACACCCTTGCATTGGACTTTGTTCACATTTTTTTCCTCAAAAGCCTCCCCGCACCTCTCCCCACGGGTCCACTTACTCATTCATGTCAAATAGTGCCTTCTGCTTTCATTTTATGTACAGACATACATACATGTATGTATGTGTGCGTGCGTGTGATGGGGGGACATGTGTGTGTCTGTGTTGCTTATGAGAGAACACATGATAATGTGGCACTTGTTCTTCACCACTGAGCCATCTCTCCAGCCCAGGGTCAACCCAATAGTAAATGAATAGTAAAGGAGACCCACTTTGGAGCACCGGACAGAAATCTCAAGGTCCAAATCAGGAGCAGAAGGAGAGAGAGAACTCAGGACCACGAGGGGTGCACCCACACACTGAGACAATGGGGATGTTCTATTGGGAACTCACCAAGGCCAGCTGGTCTGGGTCTGAAAAAACCTGGGATAAAACCGGACTCCCTGAACATAGTGGACAATGAGGACTACTGAGAACTCAAGAACAATGGCAATGGGTTTCTGATCCTACTGCACGTACGGGCTTTGTGGGAGCCTAGGCAGTTTGGATGCTCACCCTACTAGACCTGGATGGAGGTGGGAGGACCTTGGACTCCCCGCAGGGCAGGGAACCCTGATAGCTCTATGGGCTGACGAGGGAGGGGAACTTGAGTGGGGGAGGGGGAGGGAAATGGGAGGCGGTGGAGGGGAAGGGGAAGAGACAGAAATCTTTAATAAATAAATAAACGAGAAAAAAAAACATAAAACAAGTAGTTCTTTCAAAAGAGGGAGTGACGGCTACTACATGAGAGAATCAAAGTCCAAGCTCTTTGGGATACCTCCACGTAGAAACCACCTCCCTTTGCCATATTGACAACCTCAGTTATACAGACTGGGAAGTTCAAGATCAAGACACAGGCAGAATAAATGATCTGGGAAAGACTTGAGACTTGGCTCAAGATGGTGCCTTGCCTCATGATAGAAGGGGGGGCAACAAACACCAGGGTGTGGTATTTGGTACTTGTTTCATTCCTGAACTTGACAAGAACTGAATGGATGGTTTGTTTTGGTTCATACATGGAGGATAGTTGGAGACTACCTGGTATCCGGAAGAGCTCTTACCTTTAAGTGGGACTTCTATATATAACTCTCCCCACAAGGCTAGGGCATCCTGTTAGAAGAGGAAGAAGAAAGATTATAAGAACCAGAAGTAGTGGACATCTGCAGTGAAACTGTTTCCAAAAAAATGGCAGGACCATTGTACACATAAACTCACAGCAATGCATTCACAAGATCAAGCCAGCAAAAATCCCAGCATGAATGGGAGGGGTTCACAAAGTTCCACCCCTAACTGGGGAGATATTAGCAACTGGTGATTGCTGGGAATGAAGCTTTCTTCAGGCATGAAGCCCCCGAGAGCCTGTCCATGCCCCTACACCCATACACAGAAGGCAGTACTACGAGGACTCAAATGATTTTTCAAAACAAGAATGTCCAGTGTGAGTGAAAGACAAGAAGAACATGGAAGGAAAGGACTGGGGGATATAGTTGACTGAACACATTGCAGACATGTGCAAAATTCTAAAGCAATACAGAAATGAAGCCTAGCTTTACAAAATTAATTGTGGTTTTATTTTTTTTTAGTCTTCCAAGCCAAATCCCAGTTTTCCTAGCCAGTTGTAGGCTTGTTGGATGAAATGAAGAGATACAGTCGAAGTTTTAGCCACCTGACATGTTAATTCTAGAAACCCTTGGCATGTTTTCTTTTACCAATGGGCTTGGTGGAATTAAAATTTTTAGATGGAAGAATTCAGAGAGATGGAGACCTCCTCGGATGTCAGGTATTTATTCTGCAATGTTTTTTTTTTATCATGTGATAAGAGCATCAGGAGTGTTACAAAGAAGCTCAGCTGACAGGGGCAGTAAGTAGCTCTCCTAAATACTTTCAAGAGCATTAAACCTGTAGGTAAGTCAAAAAGGAATTTTGTAAATGGCAAATGGAAAATCTATTAATTTCATATAGGATCTGTCTTGAGTGTTTTCACATCTTAATTATCCTATGAAATGTCAAGTGTTTCAGGGAAAGTGGTTAAGAACATCATACTTACGTAGGAGGCAAGAGTACTTTATTGCTGGAAGGGAACTCAGAGATTGTCAATTTGCATATGTAGACACTTGAGGTACAAAGAATCACAGTGATGCTCATGGCCCTGAATATGCAGGACCAGTACATAGTTGGCCTGACTGATGCTGTTTTGGCTAAGCTACCCACCACGATGGAAAGTATAGCTAAAATTTCATATGAACTAAGACTTTCTACAGTAGGAGCTGTTTACCTTCCTTTGTAAATATGATATACTCATGGTGTTTGGGGTCCATGATTTTTGCTGGTTTGCTAAAGGGATGAGTTGGGTTGGCCTCCATGTGCCTCACTGTAATCATGGAAGGTCCAGTTCCCTGTTTACAATTCTGGTGGATATTTGTATATAAAGTATTCTTAAAATTTTTTCATCATTTCTCTTAGAGGTCTAATTTCTGAACTGCAGTGGGTCTGTAGAGACTGAACTAAAACAGTCTAATAATTCAGAATTGCTGCTTTAGTGGATTGCCCCAGCCCTACTTCTCCTTTTTGTGGCCTGTTTCCAGTGCTTTGGCATCCGCGTAAGGAATTCTGCATATCCTCCTTAGATTCCCCTTCCCTTGTCTCCATCAAGACAGTTAACTTAGCCGGGCAGTGGTGGCGTGGGATGAGGCCACGAAGTGGCCTTGTTCCTCCAGCAAGGCTACAATTCCTAACAGCTCACTAGGGACCACATGCTCAAATACCTGAGCCTATGGGGACATGTGTCATAGAAACCGCCACATCATCTCATGAGTAAAAAGGCAAACTGGAGCACCAGCATCTTCCATAGTGAGCATTTTAACCCTACATTTTAAATGTTAATGAAAAGGAAATGAAATCACGTGTGAGAGCATTTTGTGGTTGCTAAGATACGTGAATCACATCAGCACTTTAAGTCCCTGGAATGGCCAGGTCGAGGTCATGTTTCATTGTTCCGGAGAAACCTGCCTTGTGGCTTTTACTTCTCATTTATAACTTTATCTGTGCTTCTCGCTGAATGTTCAGGTTTGCTCTGTGGACTATCCTGAATCATTTTGTAAAGTCCATTGTAAAACACAATGCATTTGAAAGTTGGGATTCCATCACGCCCTTACTTAATTGCCTAAGAGGTTCGTCTTGTTATTGACTGACTTGGTGAAGCCAACTCGTGAGCCAAAAGAAAATTGGTTCATCTAGACTTGTATTCCCCTAACTCACAATGTTTCCAACGATATCTCAACACAAGATACAGATGAAGTATTTATGAATTTAATTTTATGACCCCGGGAACTGCAATGATAACTACAGTTCAGCAGAAAACATTCAATTAGCAAATGTAACAGTAGCCCTCTGACTGCATCCCCTTTGACTCTGATCAGTGCCTCAGTGTGCCTAGGAGCCTGGCATGTTATTAAGTGCACATGTGCTCATTTTAAAGGCCCAGGCATTGGGGCACAGGCTGTTTGGTAGCAAAGTATTTTACAAACTGAGGTTGCAGCTCGGGAACTGAATTCGGGAGGTGACACACCTAATGTGAAGCCAGACTCACAGAAGTCCACTTCCCTGCCATCCCAGAGAGTATGCTCTCTGAGTCAAAAGTCACTGATGGATGGCTTTGAAAAACATATTTGTCAGAATGTAATTACGTAAATCTTTGAAAATAGCTAATAAAGTGCCTGATAATGACAGCTTACTATATAGGGAATTTTGAAGGAAATATAACTCTACTTCTGGAGAGGCCCTCTTGCTAGTATGTTGAAATGCTTGGAATTTTAAGTAAATCATCCTTTTAAAACCCTTAACAGTCTTGCATGGGTTGGGGGCTGGGTGAGTGAATACCTTGCATGCATCGAGATGAGATCCAGGTGAGAAGAGTAAAGAGAAGACTGTTTGAAGCATCTTAGAGGAGAGCCCAGAGGAATCTAACACTGTTGACCGTGACAAAGAATATAAATACTAAAACAGTGCAGGGATGTACAGACACCAAAATACTTAGTATCTTCAGCCAATCTTTCTTAGTTAAAAGTATTTATATTTTCTGTCAACAACAAATTAGCCTAAATGTATGTATATTAATAAAAATAAGCCTAATATTCATACATATATTATAGTCATATTTATATACATATATACATGTATATTTATATGTCCACAAGTTTTTAGGGATAGATGTGATTGGTTAATGATAAAAAGAAAGAATGACCATTAAGCCTTATGTCCTAATTTTGTTGACAATGGTCCTGAGGTTATAATATGTGAAATTGGAAAGGATCAATATTTTTTTAAACATATGGCAAAATTCTCTCTAGAGAAGACCAACCAGATTGATTGTCTACATCAAATTTTGGGGGATTATCTGCCACACCTTCCCAAGCCTGGCCCACTTCCCTTATATGGTGAACATCAATACTCATAAACAACTGTGTATATGTTCCCAGGGGGTAAGGGATACATCAAATAATTGCTAATTTTAGTGTGTGATTACTTTCTATGAAGCATGTATCTGTCCTGTTTTTACCAAATATTCAGTCTTTTCAGAACTAGAGATTATTCTCTACTTACCCATGTTCTCCCTGATATAAATCTTTCAATGTTGTGGAGCAGTTGGAATCCTGCCCTGTTGATCAGATGCAAACTGGTGTGATCTATTTGGAAAGCAACATGACAATTTTGCAAATGACCGAAACTAGACTTGCTTTATGCTTTATGATCTGCTGGTTCTTCTAGGTATATATCTGAGTAAATTAAAAATAGGATCTCTGAAACTATCTGTACACACATGTTCATAGCATCATTTATGATGACCCAAATGTCTATCAGTAGGTGGAAGAAATCAAAATGTGGTATGTTTAGGTTTATATACATATATTTCAACATTGAACAGGAAGGAAATTCTGACACATATCCCAAAGTGGATAAAAAATTATTATGATGTCATGGAATCTAATTACAAAAGGACAGCCACTGTGGGTGGCATC